TAATTATGTGAAATAAACCTTTATCTCTGAGGAATTAGAACATTTCTGGCCTTATGATTGAATAAAGATGAGAAAAAGGAACTTGATTCATGTAAAAGAAGGAAGTTGTGGTGAGTTGCTTCTGATTTGACCTGAGAAGGAAAGGGAAAGGAGGGATGAAATATTTTATGGAAGTTTTTCAGAGATTTTTTTTTAATTTTTTTGTCATTTTATAGTTGCAGGACCCTGTCTTCTCTCCCCCCACACCCTAAACATAATTGTACAGGCCCCATATAGGAAATAGATAAAATTCAAGCTTACCTTTTTTGAAGCAGCAGAAGTGTCTGCAGAAAGTAGCATTTCTTATCACTCCTTAATAGTCAGGTGAGAGGAAGACTAGCTCCTACCATCAAAGGCTGAGGTCTTGAAATAAAGACTCCACTATAACCAGAATCTACCTGCTCTGAAATTCATCTTGAGCATGAAAATTCCATTGTTTTTTCTCTTCAGGGTTACCAGATACTCAAATATGCAAGCAAAACAAGTGTGTGTAAATTATTTTTGTCAATAGCTACAGTGATTAAACTACATTATGTACTATCAGATTAACAAATTCCCTGTGTACTGTTTTTATGTGCTAATATATATAAAGCATTGACAATAGAGTTCCATGTGGCAGCTTCCAGGCAGTCTCTGTGCTCTGACTTTATCTGCCAAGTAGGTGAACAGGTAGAATGATGGAAGTGTAAGATCTTCCTCTTCAGTATCCTCAGCTACCTTTTCTTCATCCTTTGTATTCTGTAAGGCATTAAATATCCCTGCAACCCTGATGTCTTCTACAAAAGGGAGGAGATCTGATATCAGACATTTAAATTTTTGTTTAATTGCCTGGCTACTCCTGAACTGAGCTGCTGGTCATGACTAAAACAAAGTAGGGGCATATATCCCTGTGAGCTTTATGTCTGCTTGAGTATACACTTCCTGCTGTGCACTTTGATGCCTGCCTAGGTGTCTTCTGCTCACAGTGAACCCATCATCACTTGCCAAGAGGGACTAAAAGCTTGCTGGCACCTAGAGAACAGATTGCCAAGCAAATGACCTCAGCACTCCTATGGCTTCCAGGGCAGGAAGACTGCTTGAAGGGTTATTTGGCCTGGCCTTCCTCCTATTTTAGTGCCTCCTATTGTCAAAAATCTCATGAATATCCTGTATCTATAAACAAACACCCTTCCCAGGAGTGTCAGTGTCATTGAGGAATTATGTCAAGTGGTGTAATTGTGAGAGGTGAATGTGGGGTTGAGGAAAGGGAAGTGAGCAGAATGGAAGACAAAAGGAACAGAATATAGTTATTCACCATCCAGGCCTTGATTAATAGACACTGATGCAGTCATTCTAGATATAATGGAATTTATACTACATTTTTATGGCCTCAGCTCAAGCTTAGTATGTCAGAAAAAAATTCTCTACCTATACCATTCAACAGAAACCTCACTTTCTCCTGAACTTATTCTTTGGAACAATCATTTACCTTTATAGAATGTTACTTTATACTTCATCTCTTAGTATATGTATGACCAGTGTCTGCTGCTATCACTTTCAAGCTTTTCTGCCTAAGGCAGAAAGTAGTTTTCTTAGTCATTGTCTTAGTAATTTTTAGCTGCTTTTCTGTAATAAATATACCATAGACTGGGTGGCTTAAACAACAAACATCTGTTTCTCATGGTTTTGGAGGCTGGGAAGTCCAGGATCAAGGTGCTTGCAAGTTTATTGTCTGGTGATAACACTCTTCTGGGCTGCAGACAGGCAACTTCTCATTCTGTCCTCACATGGAGCAAAGGGCAAGATATCTCTCTGGGTTCCCTTTTGTAAGGGTACTCGTCCTATCTGTGAGGCCTCCTAACCTCCTAAGGCCCCACCGCCTAACATATCATGGGGGTAGGATTTTAAAATATGAATTCTGGGGGGCACAAACACTAACTCCATTGCTGGCAGCAACTCCCAAGGGGCCCTGAGAACTCTGTCAGAGTTCCTGACATGTAACAAATTGCCTCTGTAGTGCTTTGCACACTAAAGTTTGAGAATCACAGTCTCTGTCAACATCTAACATTCTTTAGCCAGAAGATGGAGGGTAGTTTATTTTTCTCATTGTTTTGTTTACTTTTATGTTGGTGATGAATAAGGCAGCTGAAATTGCAGTATAATTATTTGGCTTATCTTAGGGGTAAATCTGATGTAATCATTTTTAAGTGACAGGATGAAAGGAAGTAAGAAGATTGAGAAGGGCAGTGTTTTAGTTACCTTCTGAAAAAGTTCAGGAGAAATCTCCTACCCCTAAAACCACCCTCAGTTTCAACGTAAGTGCAGAGAAGGAGCCAGCAGTGGGAATTTTGGTTGTGCTCAATAGAATAATCTGAACTGTCAGAGGGGAAATATCAGATGCATTGAATATATCAACAGCATTGTCAAATGCACTGCCCAAAATAGCTACATTGAGAATTTAGATCCATGGTCAGTCCTGTGACCATGTAAAAAAAAAAAAAACCTGCACAATTTTCCAAGTAACAAAAACTAAGAGCAAGCAGCCATCTCACAGACCTACCACCGCCTTGTCCATGTCCGCTGTGCCTGCACCTTCTCTTTTCCCTGCCCCGCTCTCTTCCATGACTGCCTTCCAACTCTGCCTGTCTTTCTTCAGCTTGTACTAGCATAACCCTTAAGGTAAAAGCCAAGATCCTAAATCTTTGAATATCCGTGTTCCCCTGTGAACTAACAATAAAGGGGAAAAAATCCTAGAATTTGGTTGTTCTGGCAAAGGGTTAACTTATTAGGAGTCTTGCCCAAGAGAAAAATTGCCAAGCAAATAGAATTGCATTAATGGATAAACTGGGTCAAATTCAGATAAGAGAGCGTTTATAGTGAATAATACAAATAATAAAGAATAATTGTATCAGTATCTATTAATTAGGACCAAGATGACAACTGACTATATTCTGATCATTTTGCTTTCCCTTCTACTACTTGCCACTCCCCAAATACCAACCTAGGCTTTCACAATTAACCATTATGACTTGATTCCTCAGTATAGTTCCCCTCCTACAAGTGCGTAGGTATTTATTATTATTTGTGTTTAGATTTATGTATTTTGTACTTATTTATTTATATACTGATTTTTTTTGGCAATAAAGAGCCATAGATTTAGGTGGAGGGCTAAACCAAGTACTCCAAACAACCTCCATACCCTGGAATTCAAATAATAGTGAAAGAAGTGTTATTTTTTTAAAAAGAATGCAGCTGTCCTCCACTTTTTATGTAATGTAATTATTCATTATTTATTATAATTCAGGACACAGTCAGCAGTGGTTACATGGTAAAGATGTTGATATAGCAATAAAGGTAACTCTAAGATACTTCCACAAGGCAGTGTGAATTGTTACGTGCGAAGTGCGCCCGTAAGTTAATGGGTAACAATCCCATGTGAGTCATATTTGTCACTAAAACATGTTTAATTATCAGTCTGTTTATACATACAAAGATTTTGGTTACTATAGCACTTTAGATTTTCTTCTATTTGGCTTATAATGTGAAATAAAACCAAACATACAGAAAAAGGAACTGAACACAAATGCGTGGCTAAGTGAGTCATCACAGAATGAACACGTTTGTGAACACATGTGTGGGTCAGGCCAGCGCCCCGGAACCTTTCCTCATGCCCCAGCCCAGATGCAGCTCTTCATCCTCAGGGGTAACCATTCTTTTCACTTCACTATCTAGACTATAGTTTTTCACGTATTTGAGGGTTGTGTAAGAGAATCATACAGCACATAATATTTTTGTCCTTTTTCATGCAGTTTGCTGTTTTTGAGATTTATGCATAATCTTGTATATAACTGTACTTAAAGAAATTAGTGTGTAGTATTTTGTTTTCTAAATATGCCAAAATATATTTCTCTAGTTTCTTATTAATGGGCATTTGTATTTTCTCCAGTTTGAGGCTATTATAAAAAAGACTGCTCTGAGCACTCTTGTCCATTTTTCTTAGTGTACAGTTGCATACACTTCTATTTGTAGTAAGACAGGGGTGGATATGGACACTGAGTCATAGTGTATGTATTTCTGCTAATTACTGGATGATGTCAAACTGTTTGCAACACTTGTCTACACCTAATGTCAGTATTTTCAACATGAGTCCATTTGATGATTGTTTATAGATTTTCTGCATTTCTTCTTTGCTTTTGTGGTGTGACTCTTCTCTTCCAAAAGAGTTTTCATCCCTGTCTTAGGACACAGGTATAAACATACCCATTCACTACTTCTGGGTACGGGAATAAATAACAATACAGATATATGTTATTATATTTCAAGGTATAGAGGCACGTTTTCCTCTGTCAGTGACTCTACTTCTATAGGTGTGAAGACACTGTGGAATTCGTATTATGTAAGCATTTGGATATTTTTGCATCCCCAATCGCTAATTGTAATTGGTCGGACACTTCTTTCTATAATGAAAAATATTTTTGAAAGTTCAGAAGTAGATTTTGTGCACTGAGGAAATATTCTGCTTATTTAAATTTATTCACCATTATGTCTTTTTTTCTCCCAAGTTGCTAATTCTTCATAAACAGTACTGTGAATGATATCATAGATCCTGGCTACTTCTGGTGTGGTTGTGAGGGGAGGACACACCTGGTCAGCTGGAACGGTCCACTGAGGCTCAGATTGTCCATGCAGGGCTTCTTCATTCTCGGTCTCATGGGGGTTTAAAAGCTCTTGGGGATCCAAAACTTACATCCCATACCGCATACTTACCTGGCAGGGGAGATTCTATGGCCACGAAAGTGGTTTTCCCAGGTCAAGGCTTATTCATTGCACTCCAGATGTGCTGACCCCTCAATTTCCCCAAATGTGGGAAACTCTGACAGCATAATTTGTGGTAGTGGGGGAATGTATTCACGCTTTCCCCACACCATTAAAAAAGAAAACAAACAAAAACAAAAAACAAAGAAATTTACATACCATGTATAGGCCCCTATCTGCCAGAATGCATCTCTCTGAATATTCAAATTAACATTCTACGTTTGTAAATAGCGACTCTCCGAAGTTAGCTTTTGCTGAGCCATTAACTGAGAGTATTTGATCTTCTATTCATGCTTTTTTTTTGGAGATAATTTGTTAAATTGAACATTATGGAACTCCATTTTGATTTTATTAAGCAATTCTTGAAACTGGTTTTGTTTTAAAGAATATATGAGATAATCCTTGACAATTACTATTATGTAACATGTGTTACATAATATCCTACTTAATAGAAGAGCAGATGGCATCACTTTCCTTAGCTTATTTCTCCTTGCTAAAATAAAAAGAATCCTATGTTTATTTTTGGTATATAGATTTATGTAAAGGTTTTAATAGTCAAGTAGCCTTTACCATATCTAAGAAAAAATGGAACTTAGGTTGTGCAAATTATAGGACATTGCATTTGTTTTCTCTGTTTTTAATGTGAAAAATATTAAGAAACATAGTAATGTATATAAAAAAACACCCATTATTCCACCGAATGATGATTATAAATGGAACCTTATAAATTAAGATGCAATGGTCTCTCTGCTTTGTTAGTCTCATCTCAAATTCTCCAGTCTCCTCTCTCTCAATTAGTTTATATCAATTACATACAACACATATTTTTATAAATAAATTTATACATATAAATATGTGCATCATAAAAATGGCACCAAGACATCCACATGCAGTTTATAGATTCAATTTGAATATATTCTCTAATAATTTTCAAAGTATTACCTTGATTAATATTTGCTACAGATTTAATTTTTAAAGTAATAACAAGTAAACTTCAAATGGATACACCATTCTATAAGGAGAATCATTTGAGGACAAGATATGCTGTATTCTTGTACATTTACCTGAGGAAGACTCTATTTTAGCAGCCTGGAATCCAAATAGAAACAAAATATCATTTCAGAGAGTACAGGATGCAGTGCTCAAATTGAGCAGCCTTGGGCACAAAGGATCATTGCTTCTTTCAAAGCCTCATTCTGAATGAAATATATTGAGTGGCAGTTGGTTAATTTTTTTTTTCCATTTACAGTGTTGCAATTTTAGTTTTCTATGAATATGCGCTGGGCATTACAGGACACAGAAATTTGTTCTACCCATTTTTAAGGCAAACTGTTCCAAGTGGCCAGTTAGGTTATCCAAGAAGCAAAAGAAGGGGGTGATAAACAGTCTTGGTCAGAATAATCCATGCGCAGCCTGTTTGACTTGAGCCGCTGCCTTGGCATATCCCAGCACTAACAGGAACAGCACAGTCTCTCCTTCCCCTTGGACTGCATTTCCTCTCTGCTCCTGGACTCCGAAATGGAGCCAGAGGCACCCAAACTGCTTTTTAGCTGCACTTAACTCTAAATATGTGTGGGCTGACCTTGAAATCTAATATATCATTTTGATTAAATAATATCTATTAAATAATTATTCTGCTTAAAGCTGAGAGCGCTATGCAGTTTTTTGCACACGATGAAATTTCATGATACTGATGGACATATGAAAATTTTGAAAGTAACTAAACACTTGGCAAGAAAAATGTCGTGAAAGGGGCTTGATAAGCCATGACTCAGGTGGCATGGAAGATAGACAGTGCTTTATCGATCATTCACCACCTGGATCAAAAGATCACAAGTAGGTGAAAAAAAATCACTTAATTCCTGGTTTGAGTTAGCTAAACTGTGGGTGAAGAAAGGGAACAAATAATCCTGTCCAATGAGATTAGCTGTTCCAAAGCACACTGGGGCACCTTGCTGAAATGCAGAATCTCTTTCTGGAGCTGTGGAGTGGGGCCTGGCATTGTGCATTTCTCCAAGCTCCCAGGTGATGCAGATGATCGCAGTCCTGGGATCACACTTGGAGTAGCAAGGACCTGGATCAGCTGAGAAGCAAAGCAACAATAACAAAAAACAACCCAAAGCAGCACCCCTCCCCAAATCGCAAAATAACAAAAAAATTCTTAATTTATCTGACAAAAGTTGACAGAAGAGGTTGAGTCTTGATCTTGTATAATAGGAAATCAATCCAGTAATCATTTGACTTGATTGATATTTTCTTTGATGCTTTTAATACTTGAAGGCCACTGAGGAAGATTTAGTTTCATGTTTTGCTAGAACAGGGTATTAAGGAGAAGGTAAACATTCATATCCAGAGCTATCACTATACTAACACTGGAGGTTAAGGATAAATCTTAAACCATTTTTGGAATATTCAGCAATAATCTAAAGACAAATTAGACTTCCTTCTCTGGTTTGAAACAAGAGGCTTCAATGAGAGTGAAAAAAATATCCATCAAATTTAATAGCATGGTAACTAGATATGGAACTTACATTTATTTCCTCAATAACATCAGAGGACATGTTATGCATAGTTTACAGGGATGAGAAGAAAATGTGTCATTATCATCGGTTAAATTTGGGAAATATTTTAAATCAAATTCAAAGGGAAGGATTATTTTTCTCTCTTCTACCTTCCATGTTTCTACTCCCATTAGTTCTAATGGTCTAAAACACAAGGCTGTGGACATGGAACTGCAGTATATAAAACCAGTTTATTTAGTAAATCTCTCCTGAGTTCCAAACTGCATTAAGTAAAAGATGGTTTCTGCTGCTCTGTGAATAGAACTCTTTGAAACAGGATCTGGGAACCTGTCAACAGAAAGTGCAGCCAGACAGGTCATGGTAATGTGGGAGCTGACATTTGGTGGAGCAATGCTCTTTTCCATGAGAATGAAGGTCTGCATTTCAAACTGACTTTCAGAAAACACAACATATGAAGCTTTCTTGTGATTTCATTTAAGCCTCACAGTAACTCTGTGAGTTAGATAGTAACTTTTTCTCCATCTTACAGATGAGGAAACTGAGGCCCAGAGAGGTTAGATAACTTGTTCTAGTACAAAGATGATCAAGATTTAAGTGTACTGATCCTTAATCCTGCTCAACCAAGGAATAAAATCCACTCACAGATCTCAATCCTGAATTTATCCACAACTAAAGCCAATATATCTTGAAAGTTAGGAACTTTGTGTGCTTAGGGCCAAAGACAGCTTGGAAGTGCACACATGTTTCAGAGTCCTATCTATTTTTTTATTGGAGAAGCAGTAGACAAGGTTATATCCTAAAGGACAAACCTGTCTGAATCTTAGTATCAGATGGATCAAACTTTAATAAGTGACTGTAGTGTGTAATAGATGTTAGCTTAAATAAAAACCCTTTTAAGAAGATGAATCTCTTATCAAGCCTAAGTATTTTTAGTACTTGCTGTGTACCTAGTATTATGCTAAAACTCACAGAATACTACATTGCAAAAACAACGGTTTGGAGATCTTTCTCTCTATGGGTGCATATATATATATCATCCAGGACTGACAACATGACAAGCTTTATTTCATTGAAATGCACTCCTCAAGACCCCTATAAGGAGGTCCATTCCAAGAACCAGACATGTCATGAGGTCCATTCTACTCATGAGTCTATTTGCAGGAACCTGCTTGGAAGGGGACAGAATAGGACAATTTTGAGTTCCTCTTCTGAGGATTTTAGGACAGTATTGTAGTGTGATCTTGGAGGGGACTGTTGAGGAAGGGATAATTTGAGCAAATGCAATTAAGAATTGTTTCTAGAGAGGTAGCGGCAGAGCTCCCATGGTGGCATCAAAGGGAACAAGAAAATTAGTCTAGACAATGTAGGCTGGGAACACATCGCCTCTCCAGTTTTCCTGGGTGACAATTTGGCCTGATTTTGTGAATAACTGAGAGTGTCCACATGGGGTCTGCCAGAGGAAACCAGGTCATAATTTCATATATATGAAGACAAATTTGTTACAGATGGGGATTTACCACATACAGGAGGAAAGATTGATTCCCTCACAAATTACACTGGGTTTTATTCTAAAACAGCTCCCAGACACACTGAAGGGACCTAAGAGGTCCAGCCTCCCATATTAAAGGTGAAAGAGATTGAGTGCTTCACAATTAGTGACAGAAGTGTCCCTGGAAGCCAGAACTCCTGATTTCCCACCAGTTTAGAGAGGAAACCTATGTGGCCTAGTAAAAATCTGTGTAGTAAAATTTCAAAGACATTGATGTTTGAGTATTTTTTTTTAATATATAAATTCTTTTATTAAAACCTGATTACCTTTCAATTAGGACTCATAAGAATATCTTCTTTTACATGCTGTATCTTTATTTGAGTTCCAAATAGTAACTAAGGTTAGTGTAACCAAATCATAGTCAACCATCCTCATTAAAAAAAAAAAAAAAAGTGCATCAAATAACAAATCGTAGATGGGAAAGGACCTTGGATCCAACATGCAGCTCCAGGCAATTAAAGTATTGAGAAAATATCCCTTTTCTCATTCAATGATTTTCTTGAGAGGGATCCCTTTATATTAGGTACTAAAATTACAGCTACTACTTAGAGCAGCTCCTGTGTATCCAGCACTTTAGTAAGTGCCTTACAAACATCTCTAATTATTACCAAAGAGCTTAGCAACCTAGCCCTATTTTACAGATGAGGAGTATGAAGCCAGGAGAAATTAAATAACTTGCTCAAGGTCACACTGTTGGATGGATCGTGGGCTCAGCTCATTCACCAAATCTGAGTTCCTTTGTTCCTTGTTCTTTAGTGCCCTGTATCCTGCCTCTCAGTGAATATGCAGACCGTCTCAGAAACAGTGTGCACGCGGCTCCATGAATGAAATTGTTTTGGGATGGTTTCCCAAGGAAAGTTATATCACTGATTACCAAGTGCTTCTCGTTCCCTTTTCTTTTTTCCATTTCTTTTTTTCTAGTGTTCACGCAACTTCCTAGATATTTGTCTATATATCCACAGAAAGGGTAAGGGGCAGTGCTGAAAGTCATTAGTCATTTTAATGGATCATGGTTTAAAGTCATGATGGAAGTATTT